CCCCCCCCACACACACACGGTTTTATGGTGCTTCAAGGACACTGTGTCTTTTAGCCTTTCAAGGTCTGGGCAGCTTTGCCGTGAAACAAGTGTGAGCTCTCCTGACCCCATGCTGGACATTCTCGTGACATTTCATACTTCTTCATCTCACCATTACACACTTCACAGACCACACTATAGTGTCAACATCACTTTTATTTGTACAGGGATACACCAAAAACCTCTGTGACTCGCCCTGTTGTAATGTTTGCTTTACTGCAGAGATCAGGAACGGAACTTGCGGTATCTCTGAGGTCCACCTGTTTACAGATGAAGCGTCCACCCTGTTCACAGTGAGCCTACAAGTGGAGATGGAGACAGTGGCCCGGACAGTCCCGGCCCTGTGGACAACCCTCTGCCCAGGCCACTCAGTTGTTCACTGACCCCGGCGTGGGCTGCACGCCAAATGCCCGCCATCCAATCTTCCCTTGTCTCCAGTAAACAGGATTAGCTGGGTCACTGTCTGGAACGTCTTAGCTGAGCGAATCAAGACCTCCTGGCATATGGTCCTCATAATTCCACAGGGTAAACCACCTTGGGTTATGGGTTTTGTCTGATTTGGGTTTAATGGCATAGGGGGCTCACTTTAATGATATCTGACAGCACGGGGTTTTGCTCCAGGTCATATGACATACAAATTTGGGGGCTTCAAAAAGTTGCTGGAAAAATTCCCTTACCTTTCAATACTATTTTTCCATGAACTTTTTGACACCCTCCACGTAACTGTATGTCCAGGGGAAACGAAAGAAAAGGATTAAACAGAACCTAATTCCTCGATTGCAAAATGTAATAGTATTAGGTCACTATAAAGTCCAGCCCCCCAAGGCTTAATTTAAACAAGAGAGGAGTAGAAAATGAGAGTCTCCCTGGGACAAACGCTATTACACAGGAGACAAAGTTCAGCGTGCACGTGCTTATGAGCCTTTTCTCTACCTCCCCTGAGACCAATCCAAACACTACAATGATGCCCATCCCTGGAATACACTCTGGTCTAAAAGGGATCTTATCTTGAATATTAAAATGACTGGTAAATTTTGTTCAGGTTTTTCTTGACCTTTGTAATTACGCCCACCACGCAGACTAAACAGTATCATTTTCTAAAGCTGCATTTCTTGTGTACATGAATAGGCCTATTTTAAAGATCCTAAATGCTTGTGTGATCAGATCATTTTTGTGAAACAGAGTATAGATGTTCCTACTTTAGTTTAAATATCTCTTCAAGTGATCCACGGCTGACACTTTATTTGGTGTTAAGTTTCATTGGTTATTGCTCAGATCTTTTTGCATCGATGTAAGAAAAAAAAGCCATGTAATTTTATTAAGCATCAGATAAAACATGAATAATATTTTAAACAAGTATCAAGTTACTTTTTGGGTAGAAGGGTAATTATTATAAAGTGGAATGTGAGTTCTGTTATTGAATTGCAAGTAAGGTTCCGTTTAAAACGGTTCACATATTTTGTGCTTTTCTAGATGTGTAACTATCTGCCTTTCTGAATCAATAGTATAGGTATTTTTTTTCAAAACCCTTAAAATGTTTCATACTCTGCTCTGTCTTGAATATGTTAATGGCTCTTTCACATGCATAAAATGTCAGGGTAATCCCTAGGGGTCAGCCTTATCTGATACTGTCTGTTCTGTAGGACCTCACAAAGCATTCGGGAAAACGCAGCATGAGTCCGTCTCTAATCTTTTCCAGCTTTCCCCTCAACTACTGGAAAAGAGATAAAATAAATATTTACATTTTTTTATTTCACTTGAGTTTCATCAAAGTCATTTTATTTGAATGTTTCACAGACTAATACTCTGTCAGAACCAGCTGCACACCATTAAAGTCTGTATCTGCCCCCATTAGTAACTTTAAAATACAGTTCTCATTTTAAGTTTTACCTAGTGCATTTAGGGATGACTTTTGTAAAACATAGTGTAAATGACTTGGTTTGCATTCATTATTTTTCATCTGATATTCAAGAAGCTATCGAGCATTAGAAGGAAAAAAGCTATGCAATATTTCTTTTAGGAAATGTAGATTTCATCATAGATAATTTTTTTTTTTTTAAATGGGCTTTGAATATAGTGGTTATGAGTTGGGCTGCTAACCTCAAAGTCAGCAGTTTGAAACTGCCAGTTATTTCATGGGAGAAAAATGAGGCTTTCTGCTCCCGTAAAAATGTATAGCCTCAGAAATCTTATGAAGGGTCGCTATGAGTCGGAACCAACTCCATGGTACATAACTAACAACCAATGCCTACCAACCTACCTACCCATAAACTAGCTGTGTGCCTATTTACCTACTAACTTACCCACCTACCAAGCTACCTGTAACCTATTTACTTCTGCACCTCTTACCTACAACCTACCAACCTATTTATCTATGACCCACCTGTTTCCCTACAATTACCTAGCTACCTGCCTGCCTATTGCCTATCCATACATACCATTTGTTACAGTTATAGATATTTATTAATATTTTAAATTTTCAGTAGGTAATTCAAGATCAATACCATTTGGATTTAGCAAATGAATAAGGTAATTATGGTGAAAACAAAGTGAAACCAGACTTAATTAAATTTATAAATCTATTTTTCCATTGTTTCCATAGCGACTGTAGAAGCAGCCATTTCTTTTTTCTGAAGCAGTGGGTGTTTAGACATAAACCTCTGTGTATCTGAGGCGTCTGAAGGAAAAGGCCTAGTTGCATGCATACAGCACACCGCTTCATCTGTGGCTGTTTTGCCTTGTGAATTCATCTTATGAGATGACACTTGAACAAACAGAAAAGGACGACGAGAGATTAACAGTGAAAAAATTCAAGGTAATTTCTACCCTGACAACACTGTCTTATCATAATTCAGTTTCTAAAATTGCCACAGAGCACATGTGACTTTAAAAAAGCACCATTTTGAAAGAGTGATTAAGAGTGTACAAAGCCCACAACAGCCTGCAAACCAAGGGGGACCCAGGGGGCACTGCCATGGCCACGGAGGTCTCTGATGTGTTTACTGATGGAATGAGCTTGAAGAGCTTTCTACTCCATCACTCAGCCAACCCCTCTTCTAAAAAATTTTTATAAATTTGATTTTTTAAGGCAGAAATTTGACTCGGACAAGATCCACAAACAGCTTTTCTTTCTGGAAGAAAACTTTGCAGTTTTATTACGTGAGACACAAATCCTACAAGGTGCTTTCACTGAGGAGTAACACTGCCAACAGGGAGCTCTGGTAGCGTAGTGGTTATGAGTCGGGCTGCAGTTCAAAACTACCAGCTGCGCCATAGGAGAAAGATCAAGCTTTCGGCTCCTGTAGGGATTTACAGCCTCAGAAACCCAACGCAGGGTCACTATGAGTCAGAATGGCACACTACCACCACTGTCAACAGATTTGATTCGGTTTAATTTGAGGTATCTTTCTATCTATCTGTCATCAAGGATAAGTACTCCTCAGAAACCCTATACAGGGCCACTAGGAATCCGAATTGACTCCAGGGCACTTAACAACAACAAAAAATCTATCTATCTATCTATCTATCTATCTATCTATCTATCTATCTATCTTTGAATTACCTATCTAAATCTACTGTCTATCTTCTATCTACCTGTCTTGTTA